GATGGGAAGGGATGGGAAGGGGAAACAAAGGAGGAGGCTACAATCCTTGATAAGAAATGTACTCATTATCTTGCCCATGTAATTGTAACCCCTCTATACAGTATTTTCACAATAAAAAATAAATAAAAAATTTAAAAAAGACATAAAAATAAAATAAAATAAAATAAAAAAAGAACACAACACTAAATAGTTCAACCACTTTCCAGTTTTACACTGATCACTGATTCCATTCATTTTCATACAACTACCTCAATCATTTGGACTTTCTCCTCAATTAGGACTTACCAAAATCTGTCTCTGAACAGTTGTTTCTGAAGCCAGTGAGGTATCACACATACAAATCAACTTGCAAGCAATATGACACACTGCAAAAGAGTAATTAGACATTCATTAAACTTAAAATATTCCTTCTCCTTTCATATACAACTATAAAGAGAAAAGATGGGTAAAGTGAAGCCAGGGAAGTAGAGGTGTGGATCAAGTGGTAGCATACCAGCCATGAGCAAAAAAGCCAAGTAAGAGCACAAGGGCCTGTACTCTAGACACAATACTCATACACACACACACACACACACACACACACACACACACACACACACACACACACACACACACAAATCAAAGCCAGACTTCTTCCTAAAAATGTGGCTTATGGTTTCTGTTTTGTAGTGCTGAAACATATCAAAGGAATCATTTGTTTAACACTCCAGAGGTATACAGTGATTCCTCACCTATCAAGGAAGTTACATTCCAGAGACCCCTGTAATAGGTGAAAATCGATGAATCAGCTATAAGTGAACTGTGATATAGCAAGGGACAACTATATAACACTGCTACTTCGTGGATTTTCACTCACCCATCGTGGAAGGGTCTCTGGAATGTAACTCCCACAATACATGAGGGATCACTATTTATGTGTTTGTTTTTTTAACTGCGATACTGTGAAGCCACAATGAGTGAATGGTGATATAGCGGATGATATAATTCTTAAATTTTAATTTCTTTATATATTAAATTCCAAGACTCAACAAGGATATCTGATGGTACATGATATGCTTCTATGTATCAGCCAAATAAAAGAATTATTCTAAATAGAATTGGAACCCACAGCTACTCCAAATCTGACCAAATTTCTGGACATCAATATAACTCTTACTTTTGTTCTCCTAAATGGTGAAACTTTCCAAATACATCTTTTCCTATAGGACATAAAAGTTGTTGAAAGTATGTTTTATTTTTGCCTCAAAATAGCCAAGCCTGAATAACTGCACCTTCCTTATTTTGGTGGCTTGCTTCAAACTGCAAGTTTTTAAAAAATGACTTCATATATAATTGAACTAGTCATCATTAGACTTTGACAGCCATTCTACCTGTGCTTATGCCACTTCTTTTTTAATAAGTTTTTTATTGTGAAAATACTGTATAGAAGGGTTACAGTTACATGAGCAAGGTAATGAGTACATTTCTAATACTCCCTTATTCAAAATTTGCAGAACTGGGGGCAGGGAAGGTGGCTCAGTGGTAGAGCGCTCACCTTGCTTGCCTGAGGCCCTGGGTTCGATTCCTCAGCACCACATAAGCAAAAAGAAATAAGCCTGAAGTGGTGCTGTGGCTCAAGTGGTAGAGCGCTAGCCTTGAGCTGAAGAGCTGAGGGACAGCGCCCAGGCCCAGAGTTCAGACCCCACGACCAGAACCAAAAAAAAAAAAAAAGATTTGCAGAACTAAAAGTACACTGTAATGGAAGTGGTCAGATTTTTGTCCATTATGAAACATAAAATTGGTTCATCTAAACTACTAACCAAGTTAATTTTTCTGGAAAAAACTTTTAGTAAAATAATTTTCTAATCAGGTTTTTAGACTGATGTGAATTTGAAGTTTTGAGAAATTTTGAAAATATTTCCTTTCTTTTTTGTCAAAGTTTACTAATTCTTTAGTACTCTCAAGGACTCAATATCTCAGTCATTTCTCCTTACCCTTCTATTTTCTTGCTATACAACTTATCTCCCAAAGCCTCTGAAATCCATTTTGCATCTACTATATCCCCGGTACTTGAGTTAAAAATTGATGCATTTAAATATCACAAAAATTATGTTTCTCTCACAGATAAATTCTTACAGTTCCTTCCAGGCAACTATAAGATTTAAGGGTTCTTGGGAGCAATGACATCAATGCTTAAAAAGAGAAATGTTAGCCAGGTGCTTGTAGTCTTAGCTACTAGGATGCTAAGGTCTGAGGTTCACAATTCAAAGCCAGCCCAGGCTGGAAAGCTCAGGGACAGCAATCAGGTCCTGAGTTCAAGCCCCAGGGCCAGCACAAAAAAAGAGAAAATGTTTCCTAAACATCTTAATGAAAAAGTAAACCCCTAAAACTAAGTATACTATTGTTTATAGTAACCATGAACTTAGCTTAGTCCTACATTGAAATGGTGTATCTTCATTTATATTCACAAATATAAATACTTAGTGGAAAAATTTATTTTCTGCCTAGGGAAAAAAAGTCACTTGTTTTTTACAAAGTCAAGTAAGCCAGGGATTTACCCTTTGGTTTGTTGCTATTATAGTGGAGTAATATACATTCATAAATGTATTTGCTGTCACTGTCTTCAATGAAAAGCAGTTATGGTCATCACACTAGACCTTGCTCATTTACCTAAAGCATTAGATAATGGACTACATTCTAAGCATCCAAGAAGATGAGTGGTTTTGGGGTTTTGTTTTATTGTTTGTTTGTTTGTTTGTTTTTGTTTTTGTTTTTGTTCTTGCCAGTAGAATTTCTGCATTTTTTCTTTTTTCTTTTTTTTTTCTTTTTTCTTTTTTGGGTCCGGTCGTGGGGCCTGAACTCTGGGCCTGGGCACTGTCCCTCAACTCTTCAGCTCAAGGCTAGCGCTCTACCACTTGAGCCACAGCTCCACTTCCGGCTTTTTTCTTTTTGCTTATGTGGTGCTGAGGAATTGAACCCAGGGCCTCAGGCATGCAAGACAAGCGCTCTACCACTGAGCCACCTTGCCAGCCCATTCTGCATTTTTTCTTAGTAATTTATCCCAATATTTAGTGACCTAGCTCATGAGGAAGCTATTCTTTTTAAGACCCAAATCTCTCACATGACAATACTTTTCATTTTATTGTTGGTGGAGAAAGAAAGCTACTATTTGTTAGTTCTGCGGAATTCTGAAGATTTTGATTGTTTCTTCTCCACAAGAAATAGTCCATGTTCATTCACATTTCTTCCAGATCTTATACACTCCCAATTCTTTAATCATGTCTATTGTTCACCTCTAGACTATATTTCTGTGATGATTTTAAAACTTGTTTTAGTAAAGAGCTAGCCTCTGAAAAATCATAAAACCGAGAGAGGCTAGTTGCTTAAGAAACAAATGGCATGGATTGTTTTGCTTGAATATCTCTTTTGTTTTTTGTCGGTCATGGGGCTTGAAGTCCGGGCCTGGGCACTGTCCCTCAGCTCTTCAGCTCAAGGCTAGCACCCTACCACTTGAGCCATAGCGCCACTTCCAGCCTTTTTTGCTTATGTGGTGCTGAGGAATCGAATCCAGGGCCTCATGCATGCAACACAAGCACTCTACCACTGAGCCACCTGCCCAGCCCCTTGATTATCTCTTAACAATTTTCCATCCAAGAACTGGTCAAAAATATTCAAAGGGCAGAAGCACCACTTAATGTACATGTATATTAAGAACACTCTTCAGACAAATGAAGAGGAAAATGGAGGGGAATGTAGACAAGAATCCAATGTAAATCCTACAAAATTAAGAAGAGTGAGAGAAGGGATGGTTAGGGGAGGGATGGATGAGAATGTTAAAAGGAGTGACACTGATCAAGATGCATTGTACTCGGGCTGGGAAGGTGGCTCAGTGGTAGAGCGCTTGCCTTGCATGCTTGAGGCCCTGGGTTCGATCTCTCAGCACCACATAAGCAAAAAGAAAAAAGCCGGAAGTAGCGCTGTGGCTCAAGTGGTAGAGTGCTAGCCTTGAGCTGAAGAGCTGAGAGACAGTGCCCAGCCCCAGAGTTCAGGCTCCACGACCAGACCCCCCCTCCCAAAAAAAAAGATGCATAGTACTCATAAACCACTTTGTTAAATGGCAACTTCTCTGTATAACTACTTTAAGATAATAGTAAATACATACATAAGAATACCCCTCAATAAGAATTACAAAATGTATACATACGTTTAGCTGTTTGCTCATCATTCATATATAATTGTACTTTGTTGGTAACTGCCCAATTCCACAGGTTCACTGCCATTCCTTCAATCTGTACAAAAAGAAACATTTCTTTAGCTAATTGTTATTCTCCACCTTCAACAATACATTCTTTCTGGTATGGTTAATGCTTATGTGGATATTTGTGGGTTTCTAGTCCTCAATAATCTAATCTCATTCTATCTCTGTGCCTAAAAACTTTCGTACTATTATGAAGAATTAACTTAGCTGGGCGCCGGTGGCTCACGCCTGTAATGCTAGCTACTCAGGAGACTGAGATCTGAGGATCTCAGTTCAAAGCCAGTCTGGGCAGGAAAGTCTATATGAGACTCTTATCTCCAATAAACCACTAGAGAACTGGAAGTGGTGCTGTGGCTCAAGCGGTAGAGTGCTCACCTTGAGCTGAATAGTTGAGGGACAGAACCCAGGCCCAGAGTTCAAGCCCCACAACCCACCAAAAAAAAAAAAAAGAATTAACTTACTGTCCCCTGAGCAAAACTTGTTCTTACCTATCTATATATCTTTATTTATACTTGATAAATACATTTCTTTATCTTTAGGTAATTGAAATTTACTTCAGTCTCACCAGCAGCATCCATGAAACTTTATGCAAACTCTGAAGCTTTTTTTTTTAACCCTGAAGCTTAACCCTGAAGCTTTAACCCTGAAGCTCTTCTGTACCATCTTCCCTCCTTCCATGCAATGTGGTTTTGGCAATGCTAGGGATGAAATCCAGGGTCTAGAGAATGCAACCACTCTACCACATCCCCCCAGTCCTCTTCCTTCTTTGAACTTTTATATTGATTGTCACACAATTTTTAAAATATAGTACTTTGAATAATTCATTCCTTGTAAGGTTTTTCTGGTTTTGTTTATTGTAGGAGGATTTTTCTGGATTGAACCCAAGGCTTATTTTTTAAATAATATACACAAGAAAGATTAAGATTATGCCTCTTGCAAGGAAATGGATGTACCTAGGGGAAAAAAGCATGTTAAGTGAGGTAAGCGAAGTTCAGAGAGGAGACAAATAGGGCATCTAAAATATAACTGAACATAAGAACCTATACAGGACTCTAGGCATTCACACACCAACAGTCAAGACTCAAGACCTTTACAGGAGGTACCCAAAGGTGTAACTCCTCTGAACATTTAAAATACTATTTACAGAAACAAATGCCAGGAAATGAAAACATGTTTTTGTTGTTGGTGGTGGTGGTGGTGTTTGTTTTTTCTTTTGGGTTTCTTTTCTTTATAGAAGGGTAAGGGGGGCACAAAAATGGAGGTGAACAAAATGAGCGAACAAATGCAATCATGTTATTCAGTATACACTATATGGGAAAATAACCTATGTAAATAATGGGCAGGGATAGGAGAAGAAAACTAAGGGAAAGAAAAGGAAGGGGTAACATTGTCCATGAAAAGAAACATACTCATTACCTGACTTATGAATTGGTAACCTCTCTGTATAACACCTTAATAATAACAATAAAATTATTTTTAAAATAAAATGTACACCAGGTAAATTGAGGGGGGAGGTGGGGTTAAGAGATAGGAGATAATGATGAAAAAGATGACATGGAACAAGATGCATTGTACTCACACACTGACATGTTGAATTGAAACCCCTTTGTACAACTACTTAAAGATAGTAAAAAAGAAAACATAGTAAAATAAAATAATATAATCTTGTTATATTTTTAAAAACATAAAATCCTAAATACCAAAAATGTACCACTTACACTAATTCCTACCAAGTTTTCTATGCACAAGAAAATAAGGAAGTCATTAAATATTTAGGAACATTCACTATCAAAAGATTTTAAATCTAACTAGACATAGTAGTCCCTCAAAAATCTACAAGCTGAATTTCCAAATAGAATCTTACCAAATATACAAAAGTATGAGGAGTTTTTATAGTGAGTCTAATTAACTGCACTTGAATTTATCATAGCAAAACAACTGCCTGAGCACACACACATTCCAAATACATCTTCAGAGGACAGTTGTTTATTCTACATCCTCTTCCTCTTCCTCCTCCTCTTTGTCTTCTTTCTGATCATCTTTGGGAGGGAACATAATTTTTCACCTCCTGTCACAGTGAGCTTGGTCACTCTTTGCCATATCTTCAAACTTTCATTTTTCTTTTGCAGATATGGTCTCCTATCACTCCCAACATGTCTTGCCAATTAGTAAAAGTGACTAAAGAGTCAGAATTTCCTCTTGTGTTCTTCCCAGTAAGTCTACACTCAAAAGGCATGTGAACACACTTTGTCCCACAGTTCATTGCTGTCTCCTTTTACCCATAATGGCAGACTGACCTGATGCAAGATTTTCTTCAGTCCCACAGAACAATTGGATCAGAGACTCTACCTTCCCAGAACTCCCACATGAACTGGTTTCCCCAAGGCCTCTAATGGGCTAAGCAAGGACTCTAACTCTGAGCTATATATAGCCCCAACCCTATTTTTAAATTGTTTTAGTTCTTATTCTTGTTTCACAACTGGGTTTCTTGATAACAAATAGAATGTCCTAGACCACTTACACAGCACTTGTAGTATCTTCCAAAATGCTAAATAAAGAATGCAAATTCAAATAATAGGATTTCTTCTTTCATTGTATTTTCTTCTGGGGTCTGGGGGACAAATTTTTCAAATGCTTCTTTAAAATTTATCATTTTATTAGACTGAACCTTGTCAACTAAATACAAAACTAAACCTAACTCATAGTATCTCATGAAAAATAATGACATTACAAAATGTGTAATTAGCAACAGGTTGGGTGTTTCCTTGCTTGTTTGTATTTGTGATGGTGCTAGGGCTTGAATTCAGGGCCCTGTTGCTGTCCCTTAAATTTTTCATTCAAGGTTGGCACACTACCACTCAAGCCATACTGTCACTTCCATCTTAATTAATTGGAGATAGGAGTCTCATAGACTTTCCTGCCTTGGCTAGCTTTGAACTGTAGTAATCAGATCTCAGCCTCCAGAGTAGCTAGGATTACAGGCATAAGCCACTGACACCTGATAGGTTCATTTTTGGCAACAAACCTCTGAAGGCAATAATAGGTCCTAGATGGAACTAATGTCTAAAACCAATATAACACAGCCTTGGCTTAAATCTCCCTAGGTGCTATGATAAATATGATAGAAATTATATACTTTAGCCAGGCGCTGGTGGCTCACGCCTGTAATCCTAGCTACTCAGGAGACTGAGATCTGAGGATCGCGGTTCAAAGCCAGCCCGGGCAGGAGAGACCATGAGACTCCTATTTCCAATAAACCACCAGAAAACTGGAAGTGGCGCTGTAGCTCAAGTGGTAGAGCGCTTGCCTTGAGCTGAAGAGCTGAGGGACAGTGCCCAGGCCCAGAGTTCAAGTCCCACGACCAACCCCCCCCCAAAAAAAAAAAGAAATTATATACTTTATAATATACTGGTAATAATGACTAAAAAGAATAACCAAAAAAGTTATTTACAACAATGATATGATTTTGTTTCCTTACTGGTGATCAAACTAAGGGCTTTGTGCATGCTAAGCAATAACTACTTCTCTAATCTTGTTTTGTCCTAGTTCTTTTTTCCAGTGGTATCTTTTGCACCTATATTTCTATGTTTTTTCTGAAGTGCTTCAATTTCAACCGATGATTTCATTAACATTACTGTCATTTCACTTACAGTTATACTGGAGGAAATTCTCATACCAATCTCAATCCTTCTGACATAGTATTCTCGTGCCATAGCTGATCTGACAATGACTTTCACATGAAGTATTATTTGATTTGGTGTCACTAAAACATGTGAAATTAACAACTGATTCCAAACTTCCCAAAGGAAAAATGGTTTGCAGTATTTAAAAGGAAAAATGAACATTTAGACTAAAAAAATTTAAAGAAGGTACCTTTTTGGGTGTTTTGGAAAACAGTATTGGCAATATTTAAAAACAGTCCAGTCCAAAATGCTCATTTTGTGTTCTGATAATTGCTCTTCTGAGACTATACTAATAGCCCAAAATTTATAGGAACATAATCTTTGCACTTAATAGTATTCCTTGTATATTTGTAACTAGTGAAAAATGAAGACTACAAATGAACACTAATAAATGCATATATGAATTATGATAAATACTTTTGAAAGAATATAATTCAGACATTTTAAATAATCAACATTAGCCAGGCACCACTGACTCATGCATGTACTCAGGAAGCTGAGATAAAAGGATCACAGTTCAAAGCTAGCTCAGGTAAAAAGGTCAATGAGATTCCATCTCCAATACAATCAACAAAATTAAGGCTGAAGGCATGGCTCAAGTGGTAGAGTACCAGCCAAGCAAGCAAGCCAACAAAGCCAAGATCTTGAGTTCAAACCTCAGTACTAGAAAAACAAAACAAAGGTGGGTAGGGGGAGGTGAGAATTTAGAAATGGGTGACACTGCTCAAGATGCACTATATTCATAAACTGCTTAGTTAAATGTCAACTCTTTTGTACAACTACTTAAAGATAATAAAAATAAAATAAAATATAGGGTCATAGCCAGGTGGGTATCAAGGGTCTCTAATCATAGCACTCAAGAAGCTCAGGCAGGAGTATCCTGAGTTCCAGGAAAGCTTGGGCTACATAGAAAGAACCCATCTCAAAACACATACACACACACACACACAAATCACAACCCTCTAATTTCCACCTCTGAAATAAATGATATTACAAATGTGACCCATAATGTCTGGCCAAGGTATACAATTTTTATAAGAAAATATAATGGGAAATCTTCAAAGCCTTGGGCTAGGAAAATCTTCCTAGTTATAACACCTAAGAGCATAAGCAATGAAAAATAAATTATACTAAATCAAAACTTGGATTCACTAGTGATTCACACTAGTAATCCCAACTACATCGAAGGAAGAGAGCAAGAGGACTATGGTTCAAGATCAACCTGGACAAAAAGTTAACAAGGACTCATCTCAAATAAGACAGAAGTGGTGGGGTACAGCTGCAATCCAGACATGCTATATGCCGTAGGTAGGAGAACTGTACTCTGTAGCTGACCCTGAACAAAACAAAAACCTTACCTAGTAAATAATAATCAGAAAAGATCTTTGGGCACGACTCAAGTGGTAGAACACTTGTCTAGCATTGAAAGGCCCAGAGTTCAAATCCCAGTAGTAGCCCAGGTACCAGTGATTGACTCATGGCAGTAATCCTAGCTACTCAGAAGGTTAAGATATGAAGATCAAGGTTCAAAGCCAGGAAAGGCAAGAAAGACCATGAGATTCTCATCACCAATTAACCAGCAAGAAGCAGGAAGTGGAGTTGTGGCTCAAGTGGTAGAACAATAACTTTGTGATAAAAAGCTAAGTGACTGGCCTTGAGATCAAGCCTTTGTAATGCACACACACACACACACACACACACACACACACACACACACACACAGGGTACTGAAAAAGAAAATAAAACCTAAATTTTTTATAGCATGCCCAAAAAACTGGGGTTCAATCTCCAGCACTGAACTAAAAGAAAACTAAAAGCTGGGTGTCCCATGGCTCATAATTGTCATGTTAGCTACTCAAGGACCTGAAGTTGGGAGTGATCAATATTCCAGGCCAGTCCAGGCAAAATTGATCATGAGATAACCCCCCCACCACCACACACATACATACACACCTTTTCAACAGAAAAGACAGAGTGATGACATATGCCTGTCATCCCAGCTATGAGAGGAAGCATAGAGATAGGAAGGATCATGTTCAGGCTAGCCTGGGAAAAAAATTAGGTCTTATCTCAAAAATGGTCAGAAGACAGGTATGGTTGCTCATGCCTGTAATCCTACAACTCTAGAGGATGAATTTGGCAATTCAAGGCCAGCTATACCAAAAAGTCTGCAAGGTCCCTTCTCAACCAAAAGCTAGTTGTAATTATGTATGCCTGTTATCTCAGCTATGCAGGAGGATGAGATCAGATCAGTTTTAAAGCACCTCAGGCAAAAAAGTTCCTGAGACTCAGTTTGGACTTAAACTTCATGCCAGCTATGAAAAGCATAAACAGTAAGATCTCTGCCCAAGCATGCACCTAGAAAAAAACAAGGCCCTATCTCAAAAATAACCAGTGCAAAAAATGGAGTGGAAATGTGGTTCAGTCTAGCCTGCTTAGTAAGCATGACTATCTGAGTTAAAACCCTAGTACCACCAAAAAAAGAAAGAAATATCAATTGGAACATATTGTAAACATGAAAAGTGTGGAAATGTAACAATGGAATCTCCTCTTCTGTATAGTTAATAATAAGTTAATAAAAATATAAAAATAAGCCTTTCCTGGTTCAGAGATATGAGAAAATACTTCTGATGTGTCTCATAAGGAACTTAAGTCTTGTTCAAGTATGTAAAGACTTTGCTACTTATAATAAAAACAAAAATAGCACAGCTTAAATCTTAGCAGGTAGGGCTAGGAAGGTGGCTCAGTGGTAGAGCGTTTGCCTTGCATTCCTGAGGCCCTGGGTTTGATTCCTCAGCACCACATAAGCAAAAAGAAAAAAGCCGGAAGTGGAGCTGTGGCTCAAGTGGTAGAGCGCTAACCTTAAGCTGAAGAGCTGAGGGACAGCGCCCAGGCCCAGAGTTCAGGCCCCACAACCAGACCCAAAAGAAAAAACACAAAAAAAAACTTAGCAGGTGATCGTAACAGACAATTCCACAATAAAGAAATATAAGTGGTTAAATAAGAGTCTAAATAATAAATATTAAACTTGAGCACATATTTTTACTCAGTCTTTAAAACTGTTTTCCCCTAAATATCTCATTTTAGATACAGATTTCTTTTTACCCATAGTTCAACATGAATATTATTTTTACTTATACTTCACTTAAAATAAGCATCATCAAAACTTATTACAGTTTAATCCCCAGCACCAAAAACACTTAAGATTAATTCTATACCAACCTGAAAATCCTGCAAATCAGCCATAGATGCTCTGTTGATATTTGGTACATCCATGAACATTCTCTCAATTGCTTCATGTATTCGAGGTACATCAGTGCATAAGACAATGTTTTCAACAATTTCTGAAATAACAATAGGTGATAAATGAGCTGTCAACTATCACCATTTGCTAAAAGTAGCAAACTGTTTTGAAACTTGTCCCAAATGCACATAGCATGAATGAGCTTGACGGGATCCTTAAATGGTAAAAACTAAAGTATCTTTTATCTAAAGGTAGAGTGCAATTTCAAATAAAATTTGTATTCCCTGTGTCAATTGTTTATAACTTACTCATGACTCATTCTCAGAAAGTAAAATGTATTGACTACACAAATAATGATATTATAGGTAATCTTAACACTACAAATATAAACAATACAAAATAGAAGTTAGCAATATCTTCAAATCAAGAAAACGTAGACATTTGGGAAGGAGCTAGAAATGTGCTGTATAAACCTGAAATACTTAATATTTATGTGTTAGACTTTCATTTTAACTGGCTCTGAGATTTTAACTTTGTGAGAAAAAATGACATATCCAATTACAGATGATGTTAACCATTTATTGAATCTGTACAAATTATGTCACCATTTTCTAAACAGGATAAGCCCCAGATATTTCCTGTAGCTGAATTTTACTGGGCCATGGAGTTCCCTACAATCCTACAATCCAGGCATGCTGCTAAATCACAATTGATGGTTTGATACTTTTCATATTATCAAAGTTGAGGTTTTTCCCAAACTCATATAACAGAAGTTTCCATAAGCTACATGTCTCTATTTTCTTTCAACATTTCTAAGCATCCAAACTAGTAGGAACAGTAACATAAAAACACCTTCCAAAAGATCTCTTAATGACTAAACCAGGAGTGTGTGAGAGAGAGTAGGAATCAAATGAAGGCCTCACAAAAGCTAGGCAAGTAGCATTGAGCTAAACCTTCAGATTCAACAAATAAGATTTTTAACTTGCTACAATAAACAAATTAGCTATTTTTATAGAACTGAAATCTTCCGTATACCCTGAATAAACCAAAATATTAAAATATTACCACAAATACATAACTTCAGATGATAAAACATATATGAAAAGAAAAAATCTGTATCTTCCTTCCTCCTTAATGGAAAGACTTAAATAAAATATCAGACTAGGCATGAAGCTCAATATTAGACTGATTGAAAGACTGCATAAGCTCTGAGTTTGATTCCCAGAACTGCGAACCATGTTGACCCAGATAAATCAAACTCAAAAGACCAAATATCACACATTTTCATTCATGTGCATAATCTAGACCTAAAATGATGATGATTGGGATAATGATGATGATGACCATATTGCTGACCATGATAGGACAGGAATATAAAGGAGGAAATATTTGGCAGAGGAAGAGAGAAAAGTTTTCTGGAGGTGAAAATTATTCAAGTATGTGTGTATGTGTTTGTGTGTATGAGGAAAACATAATGAAACCTACAAAATACTGCTTGAAATGAAGAAAAGAACGAAAAAGTTAAGAGTACATGTTAGAGGAGGTGAATTTAATCAAGAGGTGAATTTGATTAAAGTACATTGTATACATCTAGGAAATGCCTAGGAAATTAATTTATACTAGTTAATTAAGTTTACATTGGTCTGAGTATATATTAGTTCATGATCAAAATATTGGTAAGGAATCACTACAATCATTTAAGATAAAGTGCAGTTAGAATCAGAGAGGTTTTGTGTGTGTGTATGTGTGTGTGTGTGTGTGTACTACATGCCAATACTGGGACTTGAATTCAGTGCCTCAATCTCTTGCTTGGTTTGTTTGCTCATGACCAGCACAGGTCCATTTCTGTCTTTTTTCTAGTTATTTAGAGATATGAGTCACAGAATTTCCTGACTAGCTAGATTTGAACCAGGATCCTCAAATCTCAGCCCCATGAGAAGCTAGGATTGCAGACACAAGCCACCAGTGTTCAGCAGGTTTTTAATGTTATTTTTAAAAATACAAACATTGGGGCTGGGAAGGTGGCTCAGTGGTAGAGCGCTTGCCTTGCATGCCTGAGCCCCTGGGTTCGATTCCTCAGCACAACATAAGCAAAAAGAAAAAAAACCAGAAGTGGTGCTGTGGCTCAGGTGGTGGAGCGCTAGCCTTGAGCTGAAGAGCTGAGGGACAGTGCCCAGGCTCAGAGTTCAGGCCCATGACTGGACCCCCCCCCCAAAAAAAAAAGAAACATTGAAACTAGTGGCTCATGCCTGTAATCCTAGCTACTCGGGAAGGTGAGATCTGAGGATAGCAGTTCAAAGCCAACCCGGGCAGAAAAGTCCGTGAAACTCTTATCTCCAATAAACCACCAGAAAACCAGAAGTGGCACTGTGGCTCAAGTGGTAGTGTGCTAGCCTTGAGCTGACCTGAGGGACAGCGCCCAGGACCAGAGTTCAAACCCCACGACCAACAAAAAAAAAGTTTTTTAACATATTTTCTTCAAAACATTTCAGTACAGCATATCTTAGGGGCACTGGCATCCTAAAGTCAACACTAACTATTTACCTCCAGCCCTGAAATATTTTTTCAAATAAGACAAAATCGCAATATAATTTATTTCTGTGCTGGAGATTGAACATAAATCATTCCATGTGTCCCTCAAATGTTTTATCACTGAGCTAAAACTCTTAACAGCTCCATATGAATTCTTGAGTGCCTTGTTTAAAACATGCTAAGATATTATTGCACAAAGCAATTATGATTTCTGCTTATAGAATATATACAATTGTGAAAATATTTATTTTGATTTGTGAATGTCTTCCCCAGTGATTAATTTTTCTAGTCCTGGAGCTTGAACTCCAAGCCTGGGCACTGTCCCTGAGCTTTTGCTCAAGGCTAGCACTCCTTACTGAAGTAAAGAGGCCAGGTCTGGCCAGTGCCATATTGGCCACATGGTGGATAGTAGGGTCTGGCATCTTGTCTTCATGCTGGGGGAAAGAACCCCCCTCCCATCACCTGCCTCCAAGGTAATGGGTATGCCCAGACCCCTGGAGGCAGGGGCAGGCATTTGGCTGATAGGTTACTGAATCTGTCAGTCTAGTGCCTGAGTCTGGGAATTTCCTGAGGCTCTGCCCCCTGCGTCGACCTATTTAGGCCTGGACCACGGGACCAGCCTAGCCGCAGGACTCCTTGTGTTCTGTCTCCTGGCTCGTCTCCAGCCATCATGGCATCCCAATTCAGCTCTCCATTGGGGCTGAATTGGCTTGTTGGCATTGTTTTTATTATTTCTTTGCTCTTTACATGATTCCTAGCTGTGTTTGTAACAACTGGCAGCCTGCAGCCTGTTAACTGTATATTAAAGACTCCAATATTATATATTTTTAATGTGGCTTCTGAGATGATTTACCTTATAACACTACCACTTGAGCCACAGTGCCACTTCCCGCCTTTTCTGTTTATGTGGTATTGAGGAATTGAACCCAGAGCTTCATGCATGCTAGACAAGCACTTACCGCTAAGACACACTCCCAGCTCGATGGTTAATGTTTTTATGTAACTCACTTTTGTCAAAGGAATTCTGGTCTTTTCAAAGCATATTTTCAATGTCATTCAGTGGAGCAAGTGAACTGGCACAGTCAGGGCAATGAAAGCACTGCAGTCCTTTAGGATAAAATGCACTAAGGAAAGCTAGTAGATAGCAGAGATCACAGAACTGAAGAAGAGCTGCACTATGAACAGATGAGAGAGATTTGTTTCTGAGAGGAGCTGCAATATGTGGCAACATGCCACATGAAGATTATGTCAAGTAAAATTATACAGTGGGTACAAAAATTAGCAAATTGTCTTATGGGCTTTTGAAATATGATTTATAACATGACTTCAGTCTGTTGAATTTAAATGAGATTCATCCTAGTTAAAACTAGAGGGTCATGCTGTTGAGACAGCCGTGTTAATCAGTATCAATTAATTCTGATTAGGTAGATAGCATTCTCAGTACAGTATAATAGAAATAAATTTTTCCCCTCTTCTAGAGGAAGGAGCTTCTTTTACAACATGGAAAAATCAACAGCCCTGCCAAGTCTCTCTCTCTCTCTGACCTCCATCAGCTCGTCAGTCATTCAAAAGCCAAAGCAGTCCAAAGACCTACCAGGGTCAATTCAAGATTCTACTTCAAGTCAGAATGATTACATGCAATTTCTTCAGTGAGAAAAGAACAAAAAGACAATAAAATTAACATTTGCATAGGACTTTACATTCTTAAACATTTTCAAATGCATTTTCATTTGCTCTTTAACCTTGCCTTAAAAGCATGCATACACAAGATCTTGGGTTCAATCCCTAGCATTTACAACTTGAGAGGTGGTGGGAGGAGGGGGGATAGTGGGGAAAAAAGAGGGAGGGGGTAACAATGTTTGACAAGAATTGTGCGTATTTCCTGCTTTTTTTTCTTTTTGCTTATGTGGTGCTGGGGAATCGAACCCAGGGCCTCATGCATGCAAGGCAAGCGCTCTACCACTGAGCCACCTTCCCAGCCCTGTACATATTTCCTTATGTAACTGTAACCCTTCTGTACACCACCTTTTCAATTAAAAAAAGAAAAAATAAAGGAATAGAGACAAAAGAAAAAAGTAGAAACTGACACAACAAAATAAAGTAAGAGCTGGGGCTGTAACTTAGTGGTAGGGCACTAGCCAAGCGTGGACAAAGGCCCTAGGTTCTATCCCTGGCACCATGAAGATAAAATAAAAATTTTAAATGAAGAGTCGTCTTAGAGAAGATACAAAGTAGGGAAGTAGGTCTTGAACTCAGAATTTCTGATTTGAAGCCCTTCATTTTCCCTATACTCATCATTCTGAAAAAAGCATAGAAAATGTGTGACTCTGCAGAAACTAAAAAGAAACAGAAAGACAGGAAATGCACCAAGACCATTCCAAATGGTTCAGATTGCAAACTAAGATCAAGGATTCTAACTACAGAGGCTGGTTTGAATGAAAACGGCCAAATTATCCAGTGTCAAAAGGGAAAACAGGTTTAGAAATAAATGTAAATCAGAGTTCATATCCATGGTCAGGACAACAATAGGTTTTTGTCCCTAAGCTTTTTTGGTCAAGGCTAGAACTCTACCACTTTGAGCCACAGCACCACTTTCAATTTTTTAGTGGTTTATTGGAGATTAGAGTCTCCTGGACTTTCCTACCTGGACTGGCTCCAAACCTCAGTCTTCAGATCTCAGCCTCATGATTAGCTAGGATTAAAGGCATGAGCCACCTGCACCCAACAATAGGATTTTTTCCCCTATACAATTTTCCAGGAATCCCAACAGACAGACTGGG